CTGGGTCCCTACCCTTCACACGTGGCCTCAGCCCCACCTTATCCAAGCTATGTGAGGGTGGGTCTTTATCCCATTTTGGCATGAGATCTATTTACTGCTCCCATCTTCCACACAGAATATCTAAGCAAGTTTTCACTGCCTCCATTTGTTAAAAATAATTCTTTTTTTATTTCTTTGGAAAGTGGTGGGCCCTGCCCTATGGATTTCCAGGCCAAGCCAAGGTAATGAACGCTCCCCTCGTCTTTGGGCTGGAGTACTATGGTCCCCACCTTCCCATGGGCCCAGGAACAGTTCCTGTATTGTCCAACTCCACTAGGCCCCCAATTGTCTGAAGGCTCCTATCAGGCCTTCTCTCCTGGCCACCCGCTTCCCAATCTTTCCTGGCTTTCCCTCTAGGCAGGGTATTTTTTTTTTTCTTACAAAGCCAGTGCTGGAACCTGTGCTATACAGAAGAGAGGACAAGACCAGGATGTCCCCGTCTTCCCATCAGGGGACATACAGCCCCGCGGTCAGTCCTTCCTCTCTGCTGGCTTCAGTCTGCACTCCTATGCAAGCCCCCTCTGTGAGGCTTGAAGGAAGATGGACAAGAGGACCCTCATAAAAGGGAGGTGAGAGAAAACAGACCAGCCCAACCCCTTCTCAGAAGCAAACTCCTGGTAGTCTCTCATCCTAGTTCTTGAGTGAGCCCTTTAGACAGGGCCTGGGAGGGCTAGGCGAGCGGGTAAGGGCCCCTCGACCCCAGCCCTGGGAGGCTATACCAGGGGAGTGTCCATAGCCCCCTCAGTGTGGCATGGCTGTGATACGCATGCTCTGGGAAGCGATGGGGTAAGTCACCATGGGAGTGGTGGTGTGGCTCATTGTGATTCCTGCCAGAGGCTGGGCCATCGATACAGCCACAGGGGCCACAGGAGCCACAGATACAGCCACGGGAGCCATGGAGACAGGTGGGGGTGCCATGCCCTGGGCAATTGTTTGAGCCAGAGCCGCCGACAATGGCGTGATCTCTGGGTTCAAGTGTGGGGGTGGGGGTGGTGGAGCAGCAGGAGGTGCAGCATTGGTTGGGGGAGCAGCCGGAGCTCCAGTGGGGGCCACCAGTTCTTGCTGGGATACGGGGCGAGGCTGTAGAGCCTGGCTGCTGAGAGTAGTGTGAGTCTGGGCAATGCCATGGTTAAAAGTGGCGACAGTGCCCACGGTGGGGGCCAGAGTCTGCTCCGTCGCTGGTGCAGTAGAGCTCAGGGTCATGACCTTGGCCTGATTGCGGAACTGGGCATTTTGTTCCAGCAGTACCTCATTGGTGGCCAGCAGGTTGCTGACCTGCTTCTTGAGCTCCTCCACCCGCTTCCTGAGCATGGCATTCTCCTCCTCCAGCAGTCTGCACTCCACCCCTCGGGGTGGAGCCAGGCTATATTCATAGGATTCAAAATGGGGGCCATCTGGGGGGCAGCATCCACCTCGCCGGCGCTTGGGGCCTGGCTCGTGGTCCTCAAAGCCCCTGTCAGGGAGGTCGTAGATATCATAGAGGTCATGACGTCGTCCCGGGGGGACCGGGCCTGTGGAGCCGCCACCACCACTGCCACCTCCCCCCCGAGCATCGAACTCAAAATCCCGCTGCAAGTGGCGGAACTTGCACTTGGCTCCTCTCTGGCAGTCACCCTTGAGAAAGTCGCGGCAGATAGGGACCTCCTCCTTGCCATTGGGCAGGTCAGCTGGTGAAAGGCCCAGGCCGGCTGCCACTTTCTGCCTCAGCCGAGGGGGAAGCTCTCCTGTCTTCTTATAACCATCCTCATCCTCCTTGGAGCCATGGATGAATCGGCAGTTAGGGCGGCTACACTCCTTGTTCTGGAAGTCATGGCAGAAGATGAACTCATTTTTGCTCACCCCCAAGTTGGATACCTCACTCATGTCTGGATGGCGATAGCGGCAACGCTTGCCTCGCTTGCACACGTTCCTCAGGAAGTCTCTACAGATGGCATCTGAGCTGGCCCCGCCACTGCCCGCCCCTGCCCCACTGGCCTCCTCACTGCCACCGCCTCCAGGGCCTCCACTGCTGCTCCCAGTGCCGTTGGCATAGCTGTCCCGGTCAGGCATCCTGGTCCCCCCCAACTCAGGGCTTTCTTCTTTTTCTTGCCACCCTTGGTGACCACTAGGAAAGAGGAGAACTGTGTCAAAAAGGAATCTTCCAGAGAGGCCACATTCTTCCCAGCTATACAGCAGGCAGTCCAGCAAGAGGCAGGCCAGAGGGGCAATGGCTCTGCAGATGGAAAATCTAAGGGATGAGAATTCTGGCTGGACTGGCTGGCTTGTCAGAAGTCCCGCCCAGGCCCTTGTGCACCTGATCTGGGCCAGAATGATTCACACTAGCCTGACTAATGGCAGAGGTGGCGGGGGGGGAGCTGGGGTGAAGCCATCTCATCTCACTAATGATGTTAGGCCAAGGAGCAGGCAAGGAGAAAATAGTGTTGGGTTTTATTTCCCCTTCTGAGCTGACCTTATTAAAGTCGAGGAAGTGAAATTAAAACTGCTGTCTCAGTGTCTCAATAGGTTATGAGGAGACTGGGAAGTGGCCAAGATGGGCTGGTGAGCTTACTAGGGCTCTGAATATTGGGACACTGCAGACAAAACTTCCCTTGACTCCTCTTCTATGGGATCTCAGGTGAGGGCACTGTGAAGTATCAGATCTCAAGACCTCAGGAAATCCTAAGTGAAGAGATTGGTGTCACCAGCTTGAGGGCAGTCCCTAAACCTATCATTTTTTAGTATTCTCTCCCAGCTCACCACCGCTCTCAACTCATGCGGTCAGCCCCCTCCACTCCATTTCAGGATAAGAGTTCTACAGCTGGAATCTCCACTTACAGACCCCACCACCACCAGCAAAGGACCAAGCCATTTGTGGTAAGATCAAGGTGGGAGGAAGGAGTTAATTTCACAGGAACAAGTGACCTTTCTTTCCCCATTCTACACCCCCCCTCCTATTCCCCATTAGAAGATCCCACTGACATCAAACCACACCATTCCTCACCCCATAAAGATCCTCTTTATTTATAGACTCTATGAAAGTTTTTTAAGTCTCCTCTTTCCCAAGAGAGCTCTGGAATGTCAGTCCACTGCCCTGGTTCTAGCCCTCCCCTCTCCCCACCCCCAAGAAGACTGGGAGTCCCTGCCACCACGTGTCTGACCTCATAAGCCTTTCTAAGACAGTGATCAGGCTCCCCCTGCTGTTCATATAAGAAAAACTTCATATTGTTTCCTCTTGAGTATAAGGGAATCTTTCCTGGTTTCTTTGGGCTTCATCTCCCCCCAGCCACCTTCCCCATTGCCTTGACTTTGCCTTCAGGGCTTCCTAAAATGAACCAACCAGATCAGAGCCCAGAGTTACAGAAGAATCTGTAAAAGAAGAGGGATCCTCTTCTTCCAAAGGGATGTAGTCCCAGAACAGAAACAATCAAGGAAAAAAGAATGGTAGACAGGAAGATACAAACTTTTACTAAAAGTGAAATGCCCTGGTGAAAGATAAATACCATCTCTCTAAGCCTGAACCATGTTGCAAGTCCCACCAGAAGCAGATAATCAGGTATAATATTCCTCCCCACCCAACTCTCCCAGGATAGTTCAATACCTGAGGTAGCTCAGGTGAAGTCCGGGGCTCCTGTGGGTCTCCACCTCCACATCACTGCTGGGTTCTGATCAGGAATAAAAAACAAACAGAGACTGGATGGGAGAAGGAGTAAGAACACAGGACTATATAATGTTTGTTCAATAAAGAAGTTTGACAAAATGGCAAGAGCTCTGAACACTTCCAAGATTTCCTTCCAGTTCAAGCTGAACTTCACCTGTCAAGGGGAGAAGTTGTCAGTAAGAAGAGTAAGAAGATAGAACTAATCTGGAGAGCCTAGGAGGACGGGTTGGAAAACCAGCCCTGGGTGAACAAAGGGTGAGTGGTGCCCTGCCTCAAGATGAAGGAAGATGTGAGGATCAGAGCCCGGCCTAGGGTTGAGATTAGTTAACTCTGAATGGGGAGTCGTGCAAGGGCAGCGGCTGACAGTGCAGTGGGATGGCTGATTAGACTTGGAGGCGGTGATTATGACGCTTCGCAACACCCCAGAGTTTGGGGAAAAAGTCCTAGGAGTTTCCCACAAGTCTTCTAGCTTGCCAGGTTCTGTGCAGTGCGACCGGCGCTCAGCCGTGGACCAGACGAATAGGACACTAAGGGAGCACAAGTGAAGCGGGAAGGGGAGATTCCAGGTGACATCAAGCTGCGGGGATGGGCAGGGCTGTGACGTCACGGAGCTGGCGTTTGCTCGCGAAGCAGGGTCAGTCAGAAAAAGGGCTCGGCCCTGGGGCATGAGAAAGAAACAGCTCGGTCCTGGGGGGCCTTGTGTAGCCCGGCCGAGCCCAGCTGCTGGGCCGGCCCCGACTCCTCCCCTCCGGGCGCGGCCTCTACCTAAGTCTCCCGCCTCCCTCACCTGCCGCCGCCGCCGTAGTTGCTGCTGCCGCCTGCCGGTCCTCTAGCTTCGACAAAGAGCCGCCTACCCTATCGCCCTTCCGCTTCCTGCGGAAGAAATGGCGCTCTAGCCACAGACCCGGAACTACTCTATGGTGTGCAAAGTACTTGTGCAGATACCAACAGGAAGCTCCCGGCAAGCTTTGCGCCTCACCATAGCAACCCAGCCCAACAACACAGTAGGGACCCCAAACGGGAACTTAGTACCTGTAACGTAGGCCCAGACAAGAGTAGGGGCGGGACCGCCGTCTGCGGCTAACTTGGCCGCGAACCACCTTGAAACCGGTCCCCGTGCGCGTACTACACCCAGTATGGGAGGGGCCCCCCAGTTATCCAGCTGCTCCGAGGGCCCGCGGACCAGATGTTAGCAAAGGACGGGAGTCACTGTAGCCCATGTAGCGTGCTTGACACTACAGCACGGGGTATTCAAGAGGGCCTGCTGCACTGATCCAGAACCCCCCCAGCCAATGAAACCATAAAAACCACGTATCAGACAAGAGCATTTTTTTCTTCAGCTAAGACAGCAGAAGAGATGATTTATTGTACATGTGTTACATCCAGCCACAAATGAAAACAGAATTAGTCCCGAAAGTCACAGGTCCAGGGCAAAGGACCAAAAGGGACTGTTTTGGTATGAACAAGGCAGGTCTCTTCAAAGGTGGTCGTTGCGATCAGATGGCGATGGTCTAGAGCCCTTGAATCAAGCTCTAGAAAGTAGGCATGCAGTCCAACAATTGGTACCAGCGCCCCTGGCCTCTGGCTTTCCTTCTTTCTGCTCCTGTGGCTCCATGGGTGCACAAGTTAGCGGTTTACTTGGACCTCTGCCTCATCTTTCTTCTTTTACGCTTCAGCCTGAAAAAGCAAACACGGGAATCATCTCCTGCCCACAAACCCAAGTTCAGTCTTTCCCTCCCATCTTAAAAAACGTGCATCCGATACCTGAGGTGGCAAAACAAACAAGCACTTGGTCCTATTATCTCGTGTTCAATCCCTGACTAGTAAAGGCAATACTTAGAACTGTTTTTCACCTAAAGTTCTTTCAGATTTCTAAACCAAATGTTCCTCCCACGTTTTGTCCGAGGCACGCTACATTTCCCTCTTCCTGTTTTGGCCGGTCAAGTCTCAACATACCTGCGCATTCGCTTCTTCCTCCACTGGCAACCGATCATAACCAGAGGCAGTGAATAAAACAAGAGATTATTAGCTTTAGTAACAGGTTTAGGCAGGGATGTGAAGGGCATTATTTAAAACCTGGCAGGTTCCTGCCCAAGCAGTAACCCTATCAGTAATTTGAACTCCCACCCTCACTCGCCGACATAAACATGAATCCCGCGTGCGCTTTTCTACTCCCGCCCTCTCTACCCACACTACATAGCCACCTACTCTGCTTCTCCCCAAATTATCCTTCCTCCCCCACGAGCTCTTGGGCACCCTTGAGAACCCAGCGGCTCGGGAACCATGGCGGACTTCCCTTGCCTGGCTATCCCACCACCGATCATCAGTAGCTACGCCTCAGGTTACTGCCAGGGACTGCTTACCTTGGCTCTCATGGCGCAGACGTTTCTACAGGTAAAGAGAAAAAGGCCACAGTTAGTTTGCTGTAATGATGGCAAGCGCAGAGATCAGATGTTAATGGATTGTGCACGGATCCGGACACACGCAACAATCACACTCACCCAAGAAGATGGCGCTAAGGCCGAGAGAGCGCCAGCAGCCCGCCTCCACTTATTTAATAGGGAGTTGTGTCGTCACTTCCGCTATTTCACTCTTCCTCCAAGGGCGGGACTACCCAAGGAGAGAAACGATGGGTTTCGGCCCCTCAGGTGCCAGATTAAGTGATTGAATTAGCAGCGCTCTTGGAAACATTTTAAATTTGAGTTACAAAATTCCCCTTCCCCAGTTTTCTTATGAGGCCATTGTATTATTTCAACGTGAGCACATATTTCCAATGTGGGACCCAGAGGTGCCGACGAACAGATGATAGTGACTTCCGCCTTCCCTCTCACTGCTTCATGGGAGTTGCAGTTTCCTGGGGAAACCCTCCATTTTATTATGGATAAGTGCGGACTCTCCAAAAATTCCTGACTTCTTTTACTGGTTTATTTTCTAAATTGCTGTAGGGAGATTCTATCTCGGAACTTACGAAGATCCTAAGATTACAGAACGTGGGAAGATGTAAAGTGGGGAGTCGAGAAAGCCGTCATACTACAAAAAGAGACCTTTGTAATTTAGATCAACGCTTTTTTCTTGTCAACCACGGTCTTTCCCCACAATATCTGAGGCTGAATGAATGTCACAGGGTTCCTGGCCACAGTGCATCTTGTTCAGAAGATACTTCAGTGACTCTCCCTCTACCGAGGGGTGAAGATCAAATCAATAGGCAGAGGAAGCAAGATCAGCTGTCTTCTCTAGATAATATTTGGTGTTAAGATAAAGAACTTCCCAGTTTCGCGGTATGGTCAGGTCAGAAGCACTCAGAAAACATACCCATAGGTTTGGCTATGGAAACTTAGGAAGGATGAAAAAGAACCCTCTACCATACAGACGTCACCTAACTTTTATAATAAGAGACTGTAAGGCTTTTGGTGATCATCCTTTCTTCGTGGTTTCCCTTTATAATTTATACGGTAACACTTCACCTTTTTTTTTTTTTTTAAGATTTTATTTATTTATTTGAGACAGAGAGAATGAGAGAGACAGAGAGCACATGAGAGGGGGGAGGGTCAGAGGGAGAAACAGGCTCCCCGCCGAGCAGGGAGCCGGATGCGGGACTCGATTCCGGGACTCCAGGATCATGACCTGAGCCGAAGGCAGCCGCTTAACCAACTGAGCCACCCAGGCGCCCACACTTCACCTTTTTAACTCTGGGAAAAAAAACTTTGTTTTTTTACACTTAGGACCCTCATTCCAAGCTTTTAAGTAGTTCTAGTATTGTCACCATCAGAATATGAAAAAAATTTTGAGAATAAAAAACCCCAGCAACGTTCTATCAAGTCCACCAGGATTTCACCTGTTGATTGCCCACTACAGCTGACACCTGAACACAGGTTTGACTGCCATGGGTAGACGTACCTGTGGAGTTTTAATATACACACAATATTGTAAATGTATTTTCTTTCCCTCTGATTTTTTTAAGATTTTATTTTTTTAAAAGATTTTATTTATTTATTTGACAGAGAGAGACACAGCGAGAGAGGGAACAGAAGCAGGGGGAGTGGGGGAGGGAAAGGCAGGTTCCCCAGGGAGCAGGGAGCCCGATGCAGGGCTTGATCCCAGGACCTTGGGATCAGGACCTGAGCCAAAGGCAGACGCTTAAGTGACTGAGCCAGCCAGGCGCCCCTTAAGATTTTATTTGACAGAGACACAGCGAGAGAGGGAACAGAAGCAGGGGGAGTGGGGGAGGGAAAGGCAGGTTCCCCAGGGAGCAGGGAGCCCGATGCAGGGCTTGATCCCAGGACCTTGGGATCAGGACCTGAGCCAAAGGCAGACGCTTAAGTGACTGAGCCAGCCAGGCGCCCCTTAAGATTTTATTTGACAGAGACACAGCGAGAGAGCGAACAGAAGCAGGGGGAGTGGGAGAGGGAGAAGCAGGCTTCCCAGGGAGCAGGGAGCTCGATCCCAGGATCCTGGGATCATGACCTGAACCGAAGGCAGACGCTTAAGGACTGAGCCACCCAGCTGCCCCCCCTCTGATTTCCTTACTTTCTCTAGCTTACTGTACTAGGGTATATAATGCGTATAACATGTAAAATGTGTTAATCAAGTGTCATCCTACAGCTTCTGGTCAACAGTAGGCTATTAAGCTTTGAGGAGCCAAAAATTACATTAAGAATTTTCAACTGTGCCAGCACCTTGGTGCCCCTAACCCTCATGTTGTTCAGGGGTCAACTGTAGTTCATAAGCTCTTACGAAGGGACCTATGCTGTTTTGTTTACTATATTATCTCCAGGCCAGCAATGCCTCACATCTAAGTCTAATAAATTATCCATCCATCTCAGACTGGCCCTGAAAAATTGTGTAATAGTAAAGGCATTCTTTATGGCTTCCTAAATCAAGATAAACACTTGTATATGGTGCTTTATTTTTTACAATACACCTTGTCCTGAACAAACTGCCACCAATAAGGGGTAAGATTTTACTCTAGAAAAATTTAAAAACTTTCAAAAAAATTTTAATTTTAATTCAGAGAATCCAGGATTTAGGTCTTCCCAACCCACAGTATTTCTCTTTTTAAGGCAGAATATGGCAATATAGAAAACTAGTTCCAAATGACCATCACTTCAACTGACATTTCCCCCACCTCCATCAAATAAGAGCAGCATATAAAGGCACATGATTATGAGCAAATCCAAATTTATTTTAACGCCATGTCATTTTCAACATGTTTAAAAACCTCATAAGTTAGCGGGAGCCCTAGTTCCCTGGGACAGCATGCCAGAGGTACTGAAACTCATCACCTTTCTCTCCAAACCCCTAGCAATTCATCCAATCCAAGTCCACAGCTTCAAAAAGCCAGGAGTTGTCTCTTCAGTCTGCTCCTCTGGTTCCTGGTCTTTCTTTCAGGGAGGGAGGTCAAAATAATTCAAACAGGGAACAAAACCACAGTTGAGCTTCCAGCTCAGGTTTCTAAGATGGAGCAAGGGAATGCACTGCCCCCCCACCCCCCCTGACTCCAAAGCATTGAAGAAGGCGGGGATGCATTAATACAATACAGCTTTGTGAAGACAAAAAAAAAAAAAAAAAGTCCATGGAACAAAAATGACTAAAGAGATTTACAAATGAGGATCCATTTGACAGATGAGAATCCCTTGGTAAATGCAGGCTCCGGCTCCTAAAAATGAGAGGGGCCTAACCAGACAGTCTGGATCAGAAAAGGAATCTGCCACATATGAATAAAAACAATCTGAAGAATATAGCTCCTCTCTATTTTGAGGCCTGGTAAAATACCTGGGGAGAGTGGGAAAAGAGAGGAACAAGGCCCAACAGATGGGAAAATGCTGACACTAGAGTGGTATAAAAAAATTTCAGCTGAGTTTTTAGTGGTGGTGGCTACTTTAGCCTTCTCCCTGTTCTGTTTTAGGGCCATAAACCTTGACTAAGCAGACAGTAGTAGAAAAAGGCTAGAAAGAGGGGCTTGAAGACGATGAATTTTGACTCCTGATTTTATTATTCAATTTCTCTTTTCTATTTAAAGTAGTCTTCGGTGGCTGGGAAGCCTGGCCTCCCAAGACCAGAGTCAGTTGGAGCTGGTTGTTGTTGGAAGGGGTTGGGTGGGGACAGGGATGGGGGCAGGGAGACCCTGCTCTGTTGGCGGTCCTGGGTGGAGAAGACGAACTGCACTTCACAGAGCCTGGGGCGTGGTGGGAGGGGGATGAGGCAGGAGCAGCAAGCTGGGGAGATGGGACCCACCTCAGTCCCCAGCTTCATTCTCTTCTAATGTTTCCCCACTGGTGGCATTCTCTGCAGTCTTGGAGGCCTATGTTCATGGAAAGGAGAGGAAGACTTCTCAATTTCCAACTACTTGCAATAGTATCTGGGAGACCAAGGACAAAAATATCCTAATGCTCTAGGTCAGGGCTGAGGTGGGGGTGGGGAGAGAGGGAAGTAAGGATATACAGAAATATGTATGCCCACCACAACCCGGGAAGGCAGACTAAAGAGGGATCAGGTTCACCCTGCCAGAGAGCGAAGATCATAACACACCTTCTTTTTTTTCTTTTTCTGGGTTTTCCGACTTGCCGAACTCTGGAGGAGGGCCTGGAAAATAGGAAGAAGAAGGAAAACAAATTTTGAGCAATGTAGAAAAAACACGAAGTGTCACTCTCAGTATCGGTAACTCTTTTCAGGACTTTGTTGATACCTCATTCTCACTCCCAGGACAGGTGCCATATGCTCACACTTTCTATCACACACTGACCTTTAGCTCTGCATCCTGGACCTCCATCTCAGACTTGTAGAGGTCAGGTTCAAAGGGACCACTGGTTATCCGCATGGGGCCATTGGGCATGAGGAGGACTGTAAATTTAAACTGGGCAACAAATTCACCTACAGGAGAAAGGAAGTGTTTTTGGTAAAATGCTCCCTTGTCGTACTCTTTTCTGTAAGCTAGAGGGAGGGGACCCTAATCAGGGGCTCCAAAGTGAAGCTCTCTCTTAGAACTCACCCTCCTTCTCATAGAGAACATTAAATGGCTGCAGCAGTTCATGTTTGGCGCACTCCACCACACCCATCCGGGCCTTCTTCTCATCTTCAAATGCTCTGGGTGGGGGAAGACAAATTCAGGTATCCTTAACCCCCTATCAAGTCTTACCATTTTCCTCCTGGTTTTAAATAGCACCTACCCTCAGGCAGAAATCATGCTTCGGATTGCTCTTTCACACTACCTTCAGTGAGAGGGCAATGGGGAGAAGGAGAGAAGGCATGCATGCAGGCTGGAACTACAAGTCTAGGCAGGGGCGGAGTGGGAGGGGGGTGCGCTGGGAGAAGGAACAGTGTTCTTGGGTGTGTGGTCTATGAATCAGACTGGTTCCAAGTCCTGTTCTTGCTAAGTGAAGTCATAGTACCTTAAAGTAAATGGCATGGCATCAAAACGCCTTTCAACCTCACTGAAGAAGGCACGCGAAGTTTTCATTTTCAGGCCATACTGTTTAGAAGGGTCTCGTTTGTAAATGGTGGTTCTTTGCCCTGCATCCTTGGCCTAAGAGAGTAGTAAGTTAGGTCACGTCTGGTCTGGCGCTCTCAGGACACACCCTCAGGCACCCCTCTTTGCCGGTTATGACAAACTCTCCTGACCTTGCCCTCTCCTGAGCTGACAAGAACATCCACAGCATATACTTCATGCACCTCAAATTCAGCTTTTTCATGGTCCTTCCTAAAAGAAATAAAAAGGGAATAATAAAAACAATGAGTAGTTCCTGGAGCTTGAAGTAGAAGGTAGACACGATCAGGCTGGGCGTATGGAAGAAAACATTCATGACTAGTCTCAGATGGTGGAAGGTGAAGGGTGGAATTGGCACCTACTTCTGCTGGTCTGTGGGATTCTGGATAATGGTTTTCTCTCCATCGATGACATGCTGCTTCAACTGATGTGACAACATACCTGTAGAAAGGGCAAAGCCATCTAGAATCCCAAAAGGTTTCCAAATCCACCCACCTAGGTCGTTTGATGAGGCAGGCAATGAGGGGAAAAATGCCTGGCTATGAAAACTCAGGGAAGTAAGGGTTTTGGCTTAGACTGGGCTACAGCCAGGATGGATCCTCAAAGGAACAAAATCCTTAATTCTACTAAAGCACTCAGACCCTCAACCCTGTTATCTGAGGTCTCACCTTCTATTGGTGTGCAATTAAACGAGTGGGCAACTTTGTTCCAGGCTTCTGTCACTTGTGTGTTCTACAAGTACAAGATCAAATAACAGGTGAGATAGGTACCAGGGGCCAACAAGTTCTCTACCATGAGAATGAAAAGCACAAAAGAACTGAGAATCCCCATATCCTCTATCAAGAGCAACAATTCTCATTGGTTTTTCATTTCATAGCCCTTATTATCCCTATAACCTAAAAATACCTTACATTTGCATATCATTTTACAAAGTGCTTTCACAAAGATGGTCTAACTAGACAACAATTCTTAAAGGTGAATAGGACAGATCTCTATCCCATATCCCAATTTAGAAGATGTAGAAACTGAGGTTCAGAAAGGTTAGGAGATTTGCCCAGAGTTAAGCCAGTTAACTGAAAGAAACTGGAATAAACCCAGGTTTCCTGGTGATAAATCCAGTGTTTAGTCCACAATATCTGTTGAGAGGGAACAACAAGCTCTGATTTTCCCCCTTTTACCTCTTTCAAATATGATCTGATTCCCATCTAAGCTATTCCATTTGTTTCATGGAAAATGAAAAAGAGAGTTAACAATATTACTAAACTATGTGTTAGGTACTTTACAAGGATCATCTCAATTGTCACAACAGCCCTGTGACAATAAGTGACAATTTTATTTTTCCTATTTTGCAGGTGAGGAAATCTGAATTCAAAGTTATTTTTAAGCAGTAAGGGGTGGCAACAGGGCAAGAACCCAGAAATTCTGATGTATGTCATAACTATACAATAGCCACTATACAACACTACCTTCCAGTGGAGATACACAGTAGTTAGTATATAAAGAATAAAAATAATCAACGTGCAAAGTAATTACAGCCAACACAATTGCTTACTATGTGCCAGGCACTGTTCAAAGTGTTTCATAACAGCTGTATGAAGTAGGTATCATAATAAGGAAACCAAGACAGAGGTTTAAGTAAAAATGATGTAACCAAGTAACAATGGGGATGAAGTACAAACTGATTAAAAGGATAAAGAACAAGAGAGCACAGGGGGAAAAAAAGGGGGGAAGCTTTAAGTATTAAACAGGACCCTGGAGACTGAAGTGTTAGAAAAAATGTCTCCACTCATAATCTAAGATGTAAAATTGTATTAATTCATGACAGTTCATGATCCCTGGGCTTCCAAATAGTCTTGCAAGGCACAGAACTTTTGGCCTCTCTCTGCCACCAGTTTACTGATTTCTGTTTTATAAGCTTTTAAAGTTGCATTTTTTGGGGGTACCTGCCTGGCTCAGTTGGAAGGGTGAGGCGACTCTTGATTCTGGGGATGTGAGTTTGAGCCCCATGTTGGGTGTAGAGATTACTTAAGTAGTAATTAGAAAAGTTTGTTTTTGTTTTTTGCATGTGTTTTACTGTAAGCGATATACCTCAAATTATTTTAGGAAAAGATGCACATCCAAAACACGAATAAGGAAGGATCTCTAGGCTCCATGAAGAAAGGGCCATATATCCCCGTACACCCAGCATGGAACTTACTTATGACAGGCACTCAGAGTTAACTGCCTCTTCTCTTTCAAAAATCCCATTCTAAGATAAAGCTAACTTTAAAGAGCTGTATTAGGGGCACCTGGCCGGCTCACTCAGTAGAGCACGCGACTCTTATCTCAGGGTGGTGAGTTCAAGCCCCACCTTGGGTATTGAGCTTACTTTAAAAAAAAAAAAAAAAAAAAGCTGTTTTATAAGGGGGCTGCAGGAGAAGCTGGCAAATTCAACAGAGGACAATTATAGCTGACTAATGCATCTTTGGCTTTATCATCTTTGGAGCTGGACTAAACAGCTTACCTGGTTTCCAGGTTTGACCAGGCGTAGGGCAGCTTCAGCACAAAGGTGAGCTGCTTTAATGACATCTGCTTTCCGCCCTGTTACTTGGGTCCCCTGTAGATAAGGAAATGCAATCAGTGCTTTCTGGAAAGCACTGTAACTCAACTGGTCACTATGCAAGGCCAGCCAATGAGCAGGAGAGAAAACACTTTTCTCCTTTTATTTCTCTAGGGACTCTCTCAAAACGTTTTTGGTGGTAGGGGGTGGGAAAAAGAAGCAAGCAGCAGCATATTCTCCCCCACTCCCCACAGGTGGAACAAGTTCAAAGCAGGCCACCTACCTGAGCTACATCAACCACGAAAGTGTGAGCCACATTAGCGATGAAGCCATCCACATGGACCCCAAGGTCACTAAAAGGCAAGAGCAGAGCACAGCATTGGCAACTAGCACTATGCAAATGCTTAGGAAAAAGACAAGTGCTCTAAAATGGCTTAAGCTTACATTTTTACCAAGTCACCTTCCTTGAGAATATAGTCCTGGTCGCTCTTCAAAGGGGAGAAGTGACATACACAATTATTTACTGAAATGCTGGTGGGAAAGGCAATACCTGTAAAGAGACAATCATCAGCCTTACTGCCTTGCTGTCTCTCTCGCCCAATCTCTCTCTCTTGGAGCCCTGTTGCCCCTCAGAAAAATGGAAGGATTTTCTTCAGGGTCTTGCCTGTTTAATCAGTTTGGATTGGGTAGGAAACTGCTTGCATCCCACCTGCCATTCCAAATTTCCAAATATCTCAACCAGAGCTCGGGTGGGGGTTACATCATTACAATAAAACAAACAGGACTGAGTAAGGGTCAAACTTGGAGAATTAGTGGGGGATTGTTTTTTTTACCTTTCTTCATTTCTTTTTCTTTCTTGAAAATTTTCCCTGTCTCTTCCATAATCATGGCATCACCTTTCTCACACAGGCTCAGTACCGACACACCTGAGCAGGATGCTTCCACCAAAGACCGAAGTACCCCTGGGGACAGAATCCCACCATGTCAGCTCTGCATGTGTTGTCTAAGTTACCATCCAAACAATACCCAGAAGTTAAGAGTTTCTAATATTCCCTGGTGCCATTGCCCAAAGGTTGAAAGAGTGCACAAGTTTTGCCTCTTGGAATATACCTACCTATAATCACTAAATTTCTACCTTCCTCTTCCTAAAATAAGAAAGTCAACACACCCTTCCTTCCCTATAGAATGTGACAACTGGATAAACACCATCTGTCTCCCTAGTGAAGGGAGACTTTCCAAAGATACCTGTGGCGTGGTAAGACAGTTACGAAGTTCAAGGGGGTTCTCACAAGGTAACCAACATACATGCAAAGCAGACTAGAAGAAATTTATAGGCGTCGGGAACAACAGGAAGGTAGACACAGAACTGCTGACTCGAAGCTGATGCATTGTTAAATGCTACCTTCTTCCCTTCTCAGACACCCCAATTAGATGTTAGTAATCTCAATCTGTGTAAACTTATTTCCTCATCAACCAGTGTATAAACCAAAGGGACTTAATCTAATTTTCCTGGGCTTCAATTCAACAGGCTCATGGCTTACAGCTCTTAGCACATCTCAAAGAGGTGTAAGACCTGAAATAGTTTCAAACTGGTATCTGGGATTTTACAAGTGCCTCCGAAGTTATAAATTGCAAGGGAAAACTTTTTTTTTCTGATTCAAACCACTAATACTAAAAAGTACCCCAAATGGGGGTACTACACTAAATGCCCATTATGTTATAAAGCACTGTTCTGCTCATCGGATGTCCTCTCCATGGCCTATCCTGAACTACAGGTTTGATTTTTGTCATCTAGGTTTTAGTGATTCTTTGGAAATGTGAAAAACTCAGGTTTTCGGCCATAGGACTAAAGGGATCCTAAATACCTATCTTTACTGTCAAAACCATTCAAAAGCCCAAGCCCAAGCATTTTCTGTCCCCCTAACTGGGTATTAAAGTGAAAAGGTGAACTGGAAAGAGAGAAAATAGAAAGTGAGACATCTGCCTAGATTGGCAGGCAGCTGCTGAGAAAGTCAGAGCACGGTGGTAATAAGGATGACTTCTGAGATCCTAAAATCAGCCCCGCCATGCCCTTTTCAGTACTATTTACAAGACTGCCTAGTTGGGGTGAGAACCTCAAAACACTTCTAGAGTTGTCAAGCCCCAGAGAACAATCAACTTTGACGGCTAACTAAGGCTATCTGCACAGATTGCTGGTAGTAATGAGTAACTTCAAGGAAAACCAGATATATCTCCGAGCTGTGTTAGATCTCCAGGGGTGCCCTCCAACGGTCCCTGAGCTGGCCCAAGAGTAGAAGGGGGCCTCCACCAGCGAAGGAGCTGAAGTAAAAAACGAAAGACTCTAGCAAAGCACGTGGTAGGGAAGCCGGTGTCAGGAACGGCAGCAGAGGAAGACGGAGCCGGCGATCCGCATGGGAACCCGGCGACACGTGCCGGCTGGGCCCCAAACGCCGGGGAGCCAAAACAAAATAGAGGGGCGCTTCCGTCGCCAACAGCTGGGCGCTTCCTTTTCGAGGTGGCCTCGCCGCTGCCAGAATCAGAGGAGGCAGGGATCCGGACCGAAGGGTGAGGGGCTGAGGATGAGCCCTGCCTCCTAATTAACGGCCTAAGGTCCGAGCCGGCTGGGGGCCCCCGCTCTGCGCTCTTCCCGGTCCGGGCCCGCACCTCCCCAGACTCCAGCCCAGGCCTGGCGGCACAGGTCCCAGGCGCAACACGGAGTCTTCCCACCACGCCACCCCCAGCGGACCGGAGCAGAGCCCTCAGTAGCTCACTCTGCATGACCCCACCGCTCCAGCCCCTCCAGAGCCAGCCCAGCACCGTCCCCTTTGCCTCCCCCTCTCAGCCTCGATCTCCGGACCCCCGAGGCCCGCACTCACGGTTGGCGATGTCGCCCCCCATCTTATACTTGGTCACGACCAGGTCCTCGGCGATAGTTTGCTCCTGCTGCTCGTCCTCGCCCGACATCTTCCCACCACCACCACTGCAGCCTCGTTCCCCCTGAGCCGCCGCCTCTGTCTCCCTTCCCAGCCGCAGGCTGTGGCTAGAGCCCCTTCGATCCGCGAGGAGAGCGCGAGCGAAAGCGCGAGCTAGCAAGGGAGCGGGCGGGCGAGCGAGAGCGAGAAGCTCGAGCGCGCGGGCTGAGGCGCAAGGCACGCTGGGACAACGAGTCCTTTCTACAGACCGCCTCTAGCCGACCTTGTGGACTCTTGAACTACAATTCCCAGCCCGCCTTTCGCGCCCCTAAGCCAGGCCCTGGGGCCTTGCCCTCCGAGGGCCTCGCACGCCGGAATCGCCGAGCACGCTGGGAAGGGTCAGGCTCCGGCGGGAAGGCGGAGCCGTTGGCGAGCCTCGGGGGAAGCGTGGTCTCTCCCGGAAAAACCACATCCACCAGGAGCACAGAGCGAGAACCCGTAATAGAGAGGGGCGGGCTAAAGGGAGAAGGGGCGGAGCCACGGCTCCCACAGGAGTAGAGGCAGCTGGGCAGGGTGGAGTCTCGGCGGTGGGGGGAGTGACTACGGTAAGGGCGGGGAGGCTGGGTGCGCCCTTCCCCGGATCCCCGGAGCGGCTGGCGGGACCGGCTTAGCCGGTCCAATCATCCTGCGATGTTGGGAGAACGGAGAGCGGCAGGAGCGGTGTGGAAGGAGACCAAGGGAGCAACGAGCCGGCGCTAACTGGGCAGCTAGACTCCGGCGGGATTCTTCATTTACAGCCTCCCAATCTAGAGGCCAGACTCCCACTGAAGATGGCACTATTGTTCCAACAATAGGCTTTGATGGCACCTAAGGAAAGTGTTCTTACATACTTTTTTTCAAGAGAATAAGAGTTCTGAAACATGGGAGTTTCGGTGTTCCACCTCATGAGGCACCACATCAATAGGGCTTTTTCTTATTTTCCCAGACGTGGGTTTTCTTGTTTTTGTTATTCCCAATTGGTTGTCCTGTAGAGATTCCTGGTAAAAGTCTTCAATGAAAAGGACTGTGCGCTATGCTTGTTTTCAGTGAATACAAAGAAAAGTAGGGCTGGAGAAAGGTGCAAAACAGGAGTGTCAGAAGACAGAAAGCAGCATGCGGTGGTGGCTATCCACTGCTGAGGAGCAAAGGGGTGATTTATCTTACACACACGAGGTTTTCTTCATTTGACAGACAGGAAGCTGAAAAACCGGCATTTTTATTCAGGTGTGTATAAAAACAAAACAAAAATCTTCAGTAATACAAGATACCCCATTTCCCATCCAAAGGGACAAAGGCCTGAAGCTGGGTCCTCTTTCTATCCCAACTGAAGTTTCCCACTACTGGATGAGAAGAGACCCTAAAAGTGGCTCTTGGGACAATTGTGACTCTGTCCCTTGGGTAAGAAGTGATCATTTACAGCACATACAGGTTATGGTTTACACAAAAATGTCCAGTTGTTTTTCCTTCCGACCACCCCGTTCCCCCCCCACTTCCTGAGATGATAAGGCTGGGTGTAGGAGGAGGCTGTGGTTGTTGGGGTTAGACTTGATTCAGTGCAAAAAGAAGACAATGCCCCTTACAAGAACTTTGACTTGTATCAGTTCGCCTTGATACCTTACAGTGAGCAAACCTGCACTGGAAGATTCTGAATCCTGGACCCACCACTTAATTTACTTAAGTTTCCTTATTTGTGAAATGGGATAATACCTAGCTCACAGAATTGTTGTACGGATTAGGTGAGATAATCCACCTAATTGGATTAGGTGGCATAGTAAATGCTCAGTTAATAGTACTCCTTAATATCTATGCCCAACCTCTTCACTCAAGATGTGAAGCTTTCCATTCTTCCCAGGGGGTTGAGTCATCACCCCAAATTTTACTTTTCCCTGCCAGGTTACCCCGCTTTTCCTCTTCCTTAGGAGTCTGGTGGGAAACAAAAGCACACTTTAAAGCCTAATCTCAACAAGTCAGAGTCTGAGAGAAAGGGACATGGGAGTAATCCTTCATATCTCCAGGGAGTCCCCCTGAGGAAGCAGAGGAATGGGATTGGGAAAGCACACAAAATAGGGGATATCTCCTTTCCCGGGATTAGGAAAGAGAAGAAAGTGCACAGCTGGCTACATCTCACAAGAATTTTGTGTAAAAGTGTTTAAAAGCCTCCAAAGGTTGAATGGAATTGTCTAGGACTGGGGAAATAGGACTGAGACCCGTGAGGGACGGACTAGGGAGAAGAGGGGTACCTTCTAGAGGCACTAGCTGCCATGAAATGCTCCCTGAGTACTTCAGGGAGCAGGGGTTATGTTCTCTGAGCATTAGCCTTGGGGAAAAGCCTGCTATGCCAGTAATCAGGGTTATCAAAAGCGGAGTCAGTGGCTTCTAAACTACGGAGAGTTTTGAGGCGGGCACAATGGACATGGGGGGCATGGTGTCCAGGCCCCTGGAAAGCTCTCATCTCTTCATACCCTTGCTCAGCTGCTGGGCAGGCCCCCATGGCTGCGTAATCTCCCCCAGGAGCTCCTCCACCATGTCGCCGATTCATATATTCATAGTCCTCATCTGGGGTTGTGCCAACAGCAGGCATGAGGGGCACAGGGTTGAGTGGGCAACTCTGTGTGCTGCCCAGGGAAGCGCTGAGGTCTGATCCCACATCCATGTACTCATAACCCAGCTCCTCGAGAGAACTGGGCCTAGGGGGACGAGTCGGACTGCGCCTTCTCTTCCGGTTCATGTATTCATACTCATCATCTTCATCGTCTTCTTCAGTACCCAGGACAGAACTGAGGCCCACTGAAGAAAGGGTGCCTTCCCGGGAGGAGGGAGTACCTGGGGATTGAGGAGAGAGGATAGGTATGTGGAGAACATGGTGGCAGGTGGTGGGGAGTTGGGGAAAGTTAGGAAAAAATGAAAAGGAAGGGGTAAGATCAGAGAAGATGAAAGGATTAAGAGGAGCCTGGGGAAGGGATCAGAGAAGGATTTGAGGAAAGCTCTAGGAGGAGTCAGGCACCTTTGAGGTGTGCGTCTGGCATGACATATCCATTGACATCCTCTTCCTCTAACCCTGGTGGGGAGAGTGGGGTGACAGGAGTGAGCAGGCTGTGGCGCTGGGAATGGTAGGCACTGTCCCCACGTGGCCGTGGGCTCCGGCTCCGGCTTCTACACATTGACACCTTCTCCTGGAACTCAGCCTCAGAACCTGTCACGTGGCCCTCTGAGGACTCCGATGCCAGGCGTCCCCGTGGCATTGGGTGTAAAGAGGCTGGCCGGGGGCACCGCTCACCACTCCCACAAACTGCAGACTCCTAAGGAGGAAAATAATACATGGAGATTTACACAGCGACAAGGAAAGAGATATTTGTTCAGAAGACCGGGTTGTTCAATGCCTTCTTTTTTGTGGGGCACTGATGAAACCTCAAAGATTTCTAAAGTCTCCCACACTGCCCCTATGGATCCTAAGACACTGCCACCCAGTCTCTCAGCAGCCCCTTAAAGAGACAGACCTTACCTGGCAAGTATCCCCAAGATTACCCTGGTTCATAGGCATATATCCAGAAGATGGGCTTAAAAGGCTCTGGCTCTAGGATGAAAAAGGTGAGGAAGAGGTTTAGATTAAGGGAGAAATCTACTCACCATGGGGGTTTTTGAGTAGTTAACCTAGGCATCAGTGGGGTTCATGAGGGTGCAGGTAGGTAGACGGCTCAGGGTGCAAAAAGTCTTAAAACGCTGGGAAATGCCTTACCCCACGGGGCCGGTTAAGTGTTCCAATTGGCAGGCTGAGGGCAGAGCCTAGTGTGGCCGCCAGACCATCCTCCTCTGCCTCCAAGTCCAGGTCTAGCTCCAGTTCTGGCTCCAGCTCCACCTCCTCCAGTTCCTTGTTTGTCAGAGCAGGGGGCTCTGCTCCAGGGGGAATTCCAGGCCCACTCTCTCTCTGTAGGGACAGGTGATTGTTAAGGTGGATCCTAGTTCCAGCCAAGTCCCCGTGCCTTTAGATCTCCTTGACAACTCCTAATCACTGCTCACCTTTATGACCAGATACCGTGGTGGGTCTCGGGCCATCCTGGTGAACTCGTTGGCTAGTTCTTTAAAGGTTGGACGAATGTTCTCATCAATCATCCAACCTGGGGGTAAGATGTAGATAGAGCCATAAGAGGGGAGTGGAGTAGGGAGGGAAGTCAGTTAGAAAATGGCTGGGGGGGCGCCTGGGTGGTGCAGTCAGTTAAGCCCCAATTCTTGGTTTCGGCCCAGGTTATGAGATCAAGTCAAGAATCAGGCTCCTTGCTCAGCGTGGAGTCTGCTTGGGACTCTCACTTTCTCTCCCTCTGCCACACCCCCCCCCCCATGAGGTCTCTCTCTGTCTCTCTCTCTCAAATAAATAGATAAATCTAAAAAGGAAGGGAGGGAGGGAGGAAGGCAGGAAGGAAGGAAGGAAGGAAGAAGGAAGGAAATGGCTGGGATCGGCAGGTAACTCACACTTGACCATGACCATGTAGACATCAATGGTACAGATCTGGGGCTGTGCCAATCGCTCCCCCTTCTCTAGCAGGTCTGGTACTTCAGCCAGTCGTAGCCCAGCATAGGGCTCTGCCCCAAACGTCATCAGCTCCCAAACTGTCACTCCTGGTATAGGAAGACATGACTAGTTGATGGCAAAATAGTAGACCTGGGAGTGAAGATGAAGGGAAAGCAGAACTCGATCTAACACAAGGATCTGGAAGGCTTAGAAATTCTAAGGGGTCGGGGCGCCTGGGTGGCTCAGTTGGTTAAGCGACTGCCTTCGGCTCAGGTCATGATCCTGGAGTCCCGGGATCGAGTCCCGCATCAGGCTCCCTGCTCGGCGGGGAGCCTGCTTCTCCCTCTGACCCTCCCCCTACTCATGTGCTCTCTCATTCTCTCTCTCTCAAATAAATAAATAAAATCTTTAAAAAAAAAAAAAAAAAGAAAGAAATTCTAAGGGGTCTCTCAAAAGGCAACAATGGAATTTGGGCCAGTGATGGTATGGACGGTATCCAAATGGACTGACCATAACTCCAGACGTCACTCTGGTGTGTGTATTTCCCAAAGTGGATACTCTCCAGGGCCATCCACTTAATTGGAGTCTGGGGAATTAAAGGCAAAAGTGTCATCAGTTGACTTCCACAAGTTTTCTCGGCACTTCTAAACCCCAAGTTCTCAATAATTCTTTTCCTTGTTGCTTTCTGAACTTGAATTTCTGGCATCTCCAGGTTCCTCTCCTTGAACTTACTGTGCAGCATCTGATTGCCTCTGAAGGAGACCACTGACTGCTCCCTATTCCCCTGCTTCACTCCACCCCCACCTCCTTACCCAGCCCTTCGTGTCACCTCACCTTGGCCTCACTGTGTAGTAGTTGCTTATCATCAGGGGGCAGCAGGTCAGCCACCCCAAAATCTGCCACCTGAACCTGACTGGGTGACTTAAGGAGCACATTTCGGGCCGCCAGGTTCCTATGCACCATACCATGTTCCTCGAGGTAGTACATCCCCTACAGAGGAAGGAGGTATTCTCAAGGTTGGGGGAATTGATCCTTGAGATCCAGAATCATCCCAAACCCTGAAGGCGCCTCTCAGAACTTCAACCTCCCTGCCAGCCACCAGGCAGGCAGTTCAGTCACAGAACTCTTCCAGATTCCTCTCACCTTGGCAATCTGGACTCCCCAGTTGAGCAGCAGCTGGGGCCCCAGGGCTCCACGGTGTTGTCTCACGTGATCCAACAGGGAACCCAGAGGCAAGTACTGAGTGACGAGCTGCAGAGATGATCCTGGGCACAGTCCCAGCAGCCGTACGATGTGGGCGTGGTCTAGGCTGCCAATGGCCAGCATATGCTACGAGGCACAGGAAGGGTTATCCAGGGACCGAAAAGGTCCACGTACACCCAGACCAGGGCTACCCCAACATTCAAGGACATCAGTATGGCTAGCAGTATCTGCTAACAAAGGACCATGCTTCTACAAAATTGTATCTAATAGTGACCTCTCTCCCAGTGGCACACACAATACCCTTCCCTCACTCACATCCGTCACATCTTGAAAACTTTGCCGTCCACTCTTGTCCTCAATGACTTTAATGCAGACTGGAATCTTGATTGATTCACCCTCAGGAATCCATACTCCCTGGGAAGTTTTGGGCAGGAGTCAGCCTTAGGTCATTCTCCCCGGGCTAGCCCTTTCCCTAAAATCTTTCTCTCCTTCACCCTAGATCCTTTCCCTTCCTCCTCCACAGACCTCTTGTGGGCCACTCACTTTGTGCACGGTTCCAAAGACGCCTGAGCCAAGCACTTTAAGCTTCCTCAACTCTGTTTCCTTGAAGATTCTGGCCAAGACTTTGTTAGCCTTCTCACTGGGATCCAGAGGCTCTATGCTCTGAGGAGCAGAAGGAAGAAAATACTCAGGGAAGTCCATTCCCATGTTCCACTCCAACCCCCTCCCTATGGGTGGATGCCCAGAGCAACAAAGCCCAAAGGGGTGGGGAGCAAGAAGAGGAATTGTCTCTAGTCTTAAAAAGCACTGCAGGCATATTGGGGAGTAACAGACCCTAAGGACTGAGGACGTTGTTTGTGTTCATGAAATCAAGAATCAAGAGGGTAGGGTTTCCTCTTTGATGGGAGGAAGGGGGGAAAAGTCGGTAATGCTATCACTTTAAGTACTTTTATACAATTCTCTATGCTTTCCAAAGCACTTTCACATACATCATCCCCTTTCACTCTTGTAGCCATCCTATAAGGATGAATGCTATTATTTCTTCTGTATATGTGCATAAAATGAGGCACAGAGAAGGAAAGTAACTCCTTCAAAGTCATGTTGGCAAATTAATGGCAAAATCAGGACTGGAATGCATGTCTCCCATTTCTCCGGCCAGAGGTCTTTCTAACAGACCATACTACCTCCTTGAAGAAAGGAAATCAAATCTCTGGGAAAGGAGGAGGCTCCTAAAGACTGACGGTATAGGGTACCTTTCAAGAGTAAGCTAGACACTCACCTCACCCCGTTCCAAGTAGCGCCTCATAGCCCTCTTATTCTGAATCCGGCGCCCACGCCAATAGAGAAAAGTGCCTCCGAGGATCAGGAAAATCACTGCCAATCCTACTACCACTGTTAAACCCACTGCCAGATGGGTTTTGCTGTGCGATAGAGAAGTCCAGCATTATCCTGGGTCTACACCTTCCTTACAATGTCATCTATGCCTACATTAAAGGTATAGTACAGACCTGGTGCAAGAAATTAACATTCACATATACACATATCCCTGAGCACTGAAAGGGTTAACCTAAATCTGGACTTCTTGAGGATACTACAGGTTAATTTTAGGAAGGGAAGGCCAGAAGCCTGGATTCTTGTGTATCCAAGTCCAGTGACAGTGGTGTATGTAGAAGGCCAGAATGAATAGAGACTCCTCTCTTCCCAGCAAGTTAACTGCCCCCTCCCTAGCTTCTCTCCCAAATATCCCCAGCTAACTAAATCTCCAAGCCCACCATACCTGATCAGTGCCAGTGTTTGACCTAAACAGTCTTGTAGCTCTGGTCCCTTACACCTGGAGAAGAAAGTCACCTCCTTAAATGGGAGCTTGGGAGACTCCCACAGAAGCTCAATTCCAACAGCCTCAACATACAACATTGTTTCAGATCCTACCATGCTATTCCATCCTGGAGCCCAAATCATATCATAAGACACAGCCCCCATCTCTAGCTTGCCACCTCTCCCCGAGTCCCTCTCTTGAATGAAAGTCCCCTGAGCTGAGGTTATTCCAGGTTCTCAAAACTGTGGTATAATTTTGTGCTGTTATTGAGAGATCCCCTTTCTCCAATCCTTCCTAATACAGCTTGGAGTGATTCTTAAACCATAGTTCCTTTCTTCTTTCAGCTCCCATTTTACCCTCTTCTTTCCCCCCTAGTTTTGTTTCTCCCCCTCCCCCCTTATCATCCCATCACTGACCCCTGGGTGCAATTCTCGTGGCAGGGCCGACATTCATTCTGAGCATCTGGGTACTTGTAGATGGGGCCCTTGGCACCGAGGACTCCACTGGGGCAGCTGCTCACACAGTGGGGCCCATCTCGAAAATGGGCACACTGAGCACAAGCATCGGAGCCCTGGGTGGAAGAGAGAAGGTTGGGAAGAATGGGATCCCAAAGTCAATTTCATACTTCCCAGCCAGGACCAACCCAGCCATTTAGGATGCTCCATCCACAGAGCCTGGTGTTATCTGGCCTCCCTGTGTTGGCCTTGTGATTTGGCCGTATCATCCCTAAGACCTTCCCATGTTGCCTTGCCCTCTGCCCCCTCAGAGATCCTGGTGCTGCTACTGTACCAAGCCATTGCATGTGGCAGCCCCCTCCATGGGTCGGCACTCCGGGTGGCAGGAGAAGCATTCAGCCTCGTGGGCAAACTCACGAGGCTCCCTGCAGTGGGGGGCAAAGGGAGAGGGTCACTTCTAAGTCCTGACCTTTATGTCCCGATCCCCCAACGACAGTGTCCCCTTACTCATTCCCACCAAGGCATATGCAGAAAGTTGTCTAGGGGCGCCTGGATGGTGCAGTCGGTTAAGCGTCCAACTCTTGGTTCCAGGTCAGGCTGTGATCTCAGGCCCCATGTCAGGCTCAAGTCTGCTTGGGTTTCTCTCTCCCTCTCCCTCTGCCCTTCCCCCACCCCTCTCTAAAATAAATAAATAAATCTTTAAAAAAATAAAAAAGAAAGTTGACTAAAGGCTTTCAGGTGCCACCTGAATAGCTCCATCCCATGGCCCCATGCCCCCACCCCTGCTTGACTCTCTCGCCCCTCAGTTACCCATTCAGAAAGTTGCAGTGGGTCACACAGACACCTCCTCGGCTGTAGTTTCGACAGGATAGGCACTGACCGGGACCTGGGCCCCAGCACCCCCCAGGGGAGCACAGGGGGTCACACACTTTGCCCTCTGCCACTGGAAAGGAAGGGGTAAGTCAGGAGGGGGCTCCTCACAGGCCCTCTTCTGAACTCTTCCTCCTAAGTGCCTCCAGCCTAACACGCCCCTCTCCTTGGCTCTGCCCCGCCCCCATCCCTATTCCTGCTTCCAGACCAGAACAGTCCCTACGCTGCACCCTCCCCTCCCGGACTTCTTTTTCCCCTCCACCCCATGGGCCCTTTCCCTCACCGCAGTCCCTGCGGGGCCGATTATGCTTGATGTCTAGTCTCTCCTCCGGAGGCCCCCGAAGCAGCCTGGTCCAGTTCAGAGAATGGTGGTAGCAGAGCTGCCTATTGGCACTTATGTAGATACGCCCAGCGCTAATTTCTTTCAAAGATCGGAGGCCCAAAGATGTTATATTCAAGTTCTTCATGATCAACAAAGAGAAACCCCGGCTGAGAACAAGGAGACAGGATAAGAAGGGAGACTACACCGGGAAAAATGACCGTGCAGTGGATTCATTTTCTTTTTTTTTTTTTTTTAAAGATTTTATTTATTTGTCAGAGAGAGACACAGTGAGAGAGGGAACACAAGCAGGGGGAGTGGGAGAGAGAGAAGCAG